TTCCTTTTCCTTTTATTCTTTGTAAATGTGTCCTCTTATAAATTTTAACTGTATATTTATTAATTGTTTTAATATGTTGTAAGCCACCCAGAGTCCCCATTGGGGGGAGATGGGCGGGGAAAAGTTAATAAATAAATAAATAAACAGTTGTAAACATTCCTTCTACTTGTTTACCCACAAAAGGTTCCATTCCCTGAAACTTCAGCATATAAAAGTTTATGTGCATGTTTGTCTTTTTAACATTTTCACATGATCTAGAACAGTGTTTTTCAACCTTGGCAACTTTAAGATGAGTGGACTTCAACTCCCAGAATTCTCCAGCCAGCACCTCCCTACTATCAATTCAGCAAAGAATCACAAAAAAATAAATCAGCTACTTACACTGACTGCCTCCACCTTGTATTCATCATCACTATCCGAAGCAGAAAGCTCCAAGAGAATTGGACACACTTTATTTTCAATATCATGTTGAGCAATAAGATGTTGATCCAGTAATATTAGCAGTGAATCCTGGCTTGCTTTTCTAACCTAACAATGTGCAAAGGAGAAATAATAACATATTATTAGTGAATGATATTCAGACTGTGACTAACATATATGAAACTGACTGATTAAATTTCTTGTGGGGCAGTAAGTTCCACTGGTTTATCACAAGACTACACATAATGGCATTGCTTTTAAGAGAGAAAAGTGATGGCTTATGTACAGACATGCTTTATCCATATCCTGGATATCTGAGAGAAAGGAAGCACATATTAATTTGGTTAGATTAAGTTGGCAATTCTCGGAAAGCAATTCAAGTGCTGGTTTTGACTATAAAGCCATTTATGGTTTGGCACCAAGATACTTACAGGTTTACCTTCTCTGCACAGATCTGGTCCACCCAACTCATTCAGAGTGGACCTCCTGCCAACATCTTTCAATGGCTCCCCATGTATGAGAGGTGGAAAGGTCTGGAGCTCACAAGAAATTATTCTCTACTGCAGTTCCCATGTGTAATGGTATGTGGGAAAGACCTTGGGAGATGGGGTGAAGAGATGCTGCCTAGGAAACAGTCAGATAAGAGAGGGCATAGCCCGCAGCTGCATAGTTGGCAGAGCAAGAGGCTCAGAAGGGACCCTAGCTTCTCGGGCTGTAAAGGAGATGGCAGGAGATTTGTACTTTCAGACTTGCAAGACTGATGTCAGCCTTCCCAGGAAGACCAGACAGAAAACAGGAACATATGAGCTAATTCTACTTTATTGTAAGGCTACATTCCTTACTTACAGCTTCCCAGGGTATAAAGGAGACGGTGGGAGATTTATACTTTCAGACTTGCAGAACCTTGCAAGTCTGAAAGTACAAATCTCCCATTATCCCCTTTACAGCCTGAGGAGCTACGAAGGGTCCCTCCTGAGCCTCTTGCTCCTCCCACTATGCAGCTGCAGGCTATGCTCTCTCTTATCTGACCATTCCCTAGGCAGCATCTCTTCACCTTGTCTCCAAGGTCTTTCCCACATACCATTTCACCATGCCACAAAACACTCTCCCTCACAAGGCAAGATTGGCAACCATTAAAGACAGAACTATTCTGGGTGGCCTTCTGGAAATAAATGGTCACCATGTTTATGTTTTAATTGGCTTTATGTTTTTACCTTGTTTTTATGTTCTTACTGTATGTTGGAAGCTGTTGATTCCTTCCAACAAAACATAATTAAGATTAAACACAGTTCATACAGATTTAGCTGTTATAAGGTGTGGTTATTCTAGAACAGAAACAAAAGCTTCTAAATGTCTCCTCACAGCTATGCCATAGGAGGATAAGGGAACATGTAAGCACAAAACTCGCTGTATATTATGCTAAATCAAGGTATCTAATTGAATATTACAAGAAAAAATTACAACAATAGAGTGAACAATAAATTCCATTCCAAAAGTGATACCTGATTATTTGGATCTGTGAGGTATCTCACCACTATAGGCATAAGGTATTCAGAAAATGCTGCAGGGAAGTTTGGCCTACTCTCCTGTAGAAAAATGGCAATGGGTGGTATCTGTTCCATTAGTTCTGTCCGTACAGTAGGTTCTGGAAATTAAAATGTAAAAAATATTTAAGAAGAGACTTCTTGGATCATGCTGGCATTTTGTGTCCCATTAGCAGCTGACGAGATGCATCTAGGAAGCTCACAAATAAGACAGAAGAATAGTAGCCTTCTTCCACTATTTCTCCCTAACACTGACTTTAAGTATGATGCCTGCAATTAGAAGACAGCATACAGTCATCAAACTATTAGAAACATAGTCCAATCTTCCATTAATTTTTCTAGTCACTTTTTAAAGCCATTTAGTAAATTGATGGACATTGCTGGCTGCAATTTCCAGAGTTAACTAATAATTATGTAAAAATAATTTCTTTTATTGGTTCAGAATTTTCATTAGTTTCAATGGCTGATTCTTAATGCTAATACTGAGAGGGAGAAAATTGTCTCTGTGTCAATGTTTTTCACACCATGCATGATTATACCTCTACCCTATTCCCCCCTTACAAAACTTATTTTTAAGCTAAACAGCTCCAAACACCACAGTCTTTCTTTACAGAGGAGCTATTCCTTCCAATACTCAATGGGGTTGACTTTTCCTATACTTTCTCCAGCAATCTAATATCCTATTCGAAGGGCAGTGGAACTGAAAATACTTTAAATGCAATTTATATTGCATTATAAATTGATGTAAGAGCATTTTGAAGTTGGCAAAGTATTTTTTCTCCTAATGATATGTAACATTAGGGATCTTTTTTTAAACAGTAACTGCACACTAAGTTCACATTTTCACCGTGCTATCCAAAAGGATCCCTTTTTGAACAGTAACTGCCAGATCAAGCCAACTATATAAAGCTCAGATTTTTTTCCCTTCCAAATGTACCACACTGAACTTCAATACACTGAAGTACATTTCTTATTTTAAAGCCCATTCGCCCTATGTGGAGATAGATTTTTATACTTTTTTAAATAGCAATTTTATTAAAAATTACAACTGCAAAGATAAAAACTAATACAAACTAAAAAGAAAAGAAAAAAAGAAAAAAATAGAAGCTGCAGAAAAGGAAAAAATAGAAAAAGTAACAATATAGTAAAGAAAAAGAAAAGAAATATATACAGAAATGACTTCCCCCTTCATCATGTATAAACAATTTTAGTAACTTATTGCTTCTCTTAAAAAACAACAAATGATCTTTTCTTTCCATATCCCATCACTTATCTATAAACAAATCCTTAAAGCCTCGTTGTTTCAGTCCTGATCAGCAAAAGTCCATTAAGAGTTATTAGAGATAACAACATATCTATTTTAATCTTGTTCAAATAAACAAACTTTATATTCCTTCCTTTTACTTCTAACAATTTTGATCTTTAGTCCCTTCAAGTAATGTCCTAGAACTTGATTTCATTTTTTCTTTGGCCCTTCTCACAAAATTCTTCAAAGCGTTAACAACCCTCTTTTGTAAATCCAATATAGGAAAATTATCTAGGTCACTCTCTTTGTTTGTTGTTTGTGTATCCTTTTTAATTCTTAAGACATCAGCCGGTTTCTTTTGTATGCCCAGTGTAACATCTTTTTCCATGTTATTCTTATAGCCTATCATTTTTAAATCCACTTTCAAATCAGTTTTAACCTTGTCAGGTAGAACTTGTTCCTTATCCATAACTTCTTTTAAACACAGTCTATCTGTAAAGGCAGACACTATTAAAATTAACTTCTGGGTCCACTGTTCAATAATATCCTTCAATGCGTCCAATGTTAAAATATTTTACTTCATTCTGTATTTGTAAGTCGAGTTTAAGTGTTTTTCTCCTTTAATTGTAATCTTTAGGTACTTCTAGTTCCCTTTAGTGTCCAATTTTTAAAGTCTTTTCTTATTATGTTTTTTTTTAATTCGAAACAAAAGCATTTTCATTTGTAAGTCGAGTTTAAGTGTTTTTCTCCTTTAATTGTAATCTTCTAGTTCCCTTTAGTGTCCAATTTTTAAAGTCTTTTCTTATTATGTTTTTTTTTAATTCGAAACAAAAGCATTTTCCCACGGGAAAGATTCTTTATAATTAATTCCAAAATTTTATTACAAATTTATCTGGACCTTTAGTCCATTTGTAATTTTCTAAAATCAAAGTTTTAATCACCCTTTTGCTGTTTATTCAAAAAAAAAATTTTTTTTTTAAGTACTTAAACTTGTATTTAAAACTTCTTTTGCTAAGGATTGAAGGAAACTCACCCAGTGCAATAAAACTTGTCGATCTAAATGTTTCCTAATAGCAGAAAAGCAGTTAACAAGCAATTTCCAAAAGTGATTAGAAAAGGAAATTTGCGAACCCAGCGTCCTTTCAAAGGCGCTGACCGCGATTTGAGCAAGATGGTTATTCCCTCGTCTCCCAGAGCGCTAAACCTGCTGGAGACCTCTGTCTTGAGGTCTCCTCATGAGAAGCAACCGTCTGGAGCACTTGTGGGCAATCTCAAGTTCTCTGCTTGTCCAGAGAGGAATTATTGAAGAGCTAGTCTACTTTCCGGCTCTTCATTCCACCACAGTTGTCGTCTCCAGTCCGCCATTTCTTCCCTTGAAGTTTGGAGACAGGCTTTTTAGAGTTCCTTACAATCTCCTTTTGATTTCATCACCCTGAATAATTTGGTATCACCAGCAAATCTGGCTTCCTTATTTTCAATTCCAAGAAGGCTGAAAAGCATCTGTCCCTGCATAGCTGCTTGGGCAATAGATATTTGCACTTGTATCATTGGCGGAAAAAAGTCCATTCACTCTTATTCCCTGCATCCAATTGCCAATTCATGAGAAGAGTTATTTTCTTATCCCATGTCTGCTAAGGTTGCTCAGGTAACTTTGCTGAAAACTTTAAAGGTTTTTTTTGAAAGGGCAAACATGCAGTATCTGTTGGATCATCCAATCAGATGCTTTTTGATACCCTTGAGATACTTTAGAACATTAAACTAAAATGATAATTACAGACACTGTGTTGATCTTCTTGAGCATGACATTCCTCTGTTGTTGTTGTTGTTTTTTAATTAGAATTGCCTCCAATTTACCAATATCACATAATAAGCTAACTGCCTTATATTTCACAGATACCATCTTCAATTTATTTCCAAAAATGGGAGGTATCTTGTCCATTTCCCAGTCCCTCAGAGATAAAAGCCAATTTTAGGGACAATGTCCATATTTTGTTAGAAGACCAGCAAATTCACAATTTAGTTCCTTAAGAATCTATGGGTGGATACTATCTGGACTCAATATTGTATTATTTATTTGATTTTGATGCCATCCAATTCTGGCAGCTAGATGTTTCCGGAACAG